TTTTGGGGTCTGGTCGTGGGGCCTGGGCGCTGTCCCTCAGCTCTTCAGCTCAAGGCGAGCGCGCTACCACTTGAACTATAGCACCACTTATGGCTTTTTTCTTTTTTTTTGCTTATGTGGTGCTGAGGAATCGAACCCAGGGCCTCATGCATGCAAGGCAAGCGCTCTACCACTGAGCCACCTTCCCAGCCCCTGTTGATGCATATTTTAAAATGCCATTATATTTTCTGCCACGAATCAATGAGTATCTGAAGTACCCTGTTGCTTCACACAAATTTCAAGACCAAGACAACCATGTTAGTCTCTTCTTGGTGTTTGTTTTTCAGCGTGTTTGACAGCAGCTGCATCTCCTCCCAGGTTCCTCTCCTCACCACCATCAGGTAGGTGTCCACATCCAGTGTGGATCTAGGGCTGCTTGGAGCAGTAATGGTGATATTTGGAAGTTGCAGATTCGACATCTGCATGTCAAACAGATGTAATAACCCTGATTTTTGTGTTGCCTTGTGTAACATAAAATAGGACCTATTTTTGCTCCTATCAGGGAGAGCTCTTGCTTCTGGGATCTATGTGTCTATAAAGAGGTTTAATGTCTTGTCGGTGCTTAGCTGTTCTCTGCAGGTGGAAGTTAATTTTAGTTAAGGTTAGTGACTATTCTGACCTGAGATACTCACGGTGTCTTATTGAAGAAGGGTGTAACTTGCTGTCGTGGCTCTCTGCAGATAGCTTGCTTGCCTTATGCCTGGTTATTCTGGGAGGCGAGGTGTTGCCACCTTTCTATTGTCTTTTTCTTCTATCCAATACTACCTTGAATTATTGAACACTTTGAAAAAACTGGTTTCTTTTTCCTTTATTTTCCTTCTCACTAGACACAACACCATCACTGGACGATGGCTGACAGGATTCCAAGCCAAGTGGGACCCTAAACAAGAAGACTGTTTCATGGTTGGCAGCATGGCCTATCCACGTCAGGTCAACATCTTCCATGAGACCGGGAAGATGGTGCATTCCTTCTTTGGAGAAGGCCTTGCCTCTGTGTGTTCCATCAATGCCATGCACCCTACTCGGTACATTCTGGCTGGAGGTAACTCCAGTGGGAAGTTACATGTGTTTATGGATTAGGAAAGCTGCCGAGTTCCTGGGGTAGGTACATCTATTTGCCCACCTTGATCTCTGTCTAGGAAGAATGTAGTGATTCATGTGGCAGTGTGTTTCCTTTGTACTATGTTACACTTAGCAAATATAAAATGGCTTCGTTAAGGATACGAGCAGAGTATACTTTAGTAATGGAGATAACTTGGAGTTTCTACAGAAAGAGCTAAGAAGCTTTCAGCACTTTTAATTGGGTAGTATGTTGAGAAATTCTAATGTGACAGACTTCAAAGCTTTGAATAATGACTGTTAGCGACAGTGACAGATTTGTGATTTATTTTATAGTTTGGAGGGGTCCTGAAAGGTTATTTAACTCAGTGATTTTAGAAGTTAGGCTTTTCTTTGAATTCAAGGCCTGTTGCACCTGTTTTTGGGTAAGGACTACTGAGCTCCATCTCCAGCTCTCAAACTTCATGCTTCTCGGGTTGTTTCGGTTGAGACAAGCTCTCAGTCCCGCCTTGCCTGCCTCTGCCTTCTGCTGCTCGCGTGTGCTGCTACCTCCTGCTGGAACTTGTGTTTTTAACTGATTCCTTTCCTGCCTCTTTAAACATGATATGGAATTCCAACAAGCTTAGTGCACCAGCGGCAGGGCCTGGGGTTCTGTGTGGAGCGTTTCTTTCTTCCCCTACAGGTCGGGTCATGAGATACAGCCAGGGCCTTAATCACAGATTCTCGTGAAGATCACCCTCAGACCAGTGTTTTCCAGACCAGAGGTGGTAGCTCTCCAAGTGGAGTCGGTTTAATGGTCAGAATTAGTGTTTTAATTTAAAAACAAAACCAGAAAGCATAATTCCAATCAATACAATTCTGTAACAGTTTCATGTGCACATGTAGGTATGTATTTATGTATTGTGGTGAAAAAAGTATATTTTTTTTTCATTAGATCTGAAAGCTTCAGCCAGCCCCCTTGACCAACCCTCTGGACTGTTCTGTCTTTAAACTTACCATAGGGGATCCAGCTACTCATATTTTGGGAATTTGTAAAATACTGTAACTTTTTCATTTTCATCCTTTTTTTTTGGGTTAGTCGTGGGGCTTGAACTCTGGGTCTGGGCGCTGTCCCTCAGCTCTTCAGCTCAAGCTAGTGCTCTAACACTTAAGCCATAGCGCCACTTCTGGTTTTCTGGTGGTTAATTGGAGATAAGAGTCTCACAAACTTTTCTGCCCCGGCTGGCTTTGAACTGTGATCCTCAGATCTCAGCCTCCTGAGTAACTAGGATTACAGGCGTGAACCATCAGTGCCTGGCTTGTTTTGTTCTTTTTGTGCTACAGAGGTTTAAAGTCCCCTAACCCCACCTGGCTTGCCAGCCAGGTGCTCTACCACTTGAGCTTTGCTGCCAGTCCCTTGATATTTTTTTTTTTTTGGTTGGTCGTGGGGCTTGAACTCTGGGCCTGGGCACTGTCCCTCAGCTCTTCAGCTCAAGGCGAGTGCTCTACCACTTGAGCTACAGCGCCACTTCC